CCCCGGAGCGCGCGGCTCCCCGCGCTGCAGAGCCTCGGTTTTCCCACTTGGAACGGGGACGGTTTGTACCGTAGGATGTGGCCGCTTGAACTCACGGAATCGGGCGCCAGGGACAGGCTGGTCTCTCACTCCACAAGTGTTCCTTGAGGGCCCGCCTGAACGATCAGGGGGTCCCCCACTTCCCTATGAGCAACATTCCTTTCGTCCTGTTTTGCAGATGAGGAGCCTGAGGCACAGTTCGGAGGGCCACTCGCCTGGAGCCTCCTGGGATCACAGAAGTGACATTCAGGCCAGGGGGTGAAGCTAAGAAATAGTCGGGTGGTGCTGGAAGGTTCTCTGCGGGCTTCTATGTTGCTAAGGGGCTGATGTGGCCCATGGACCTCAGCCTCTCCTCCCTCTCTCTGCGCAGCTCACCCTGGGGGCCCTGCATTCGCTGTTGCCTCTGCCTGGGACATGCCCAGCAGTTACCACAAACCTAGCCTCTTCCTCTCCTTCGGGGCTCGGTTGGAATGTCATCTCTTCCTAGAAGCCCTCTCTGGCTGTCACCTCCTCCTAGGGACCCGTCTAACGGGCTGAACTCACCATCACCCAGGAGATCCATCTCATTTCCTTATTTCACTGAAAGGAATCATTCCTTGATAGGTGCAGCTTTCCTGGTGTAATTCCCCATTTCCTGTGACATAAGGGTTAGGACTTACATGCCAAGAGGGTGTCTCTATTACATCGGTGTCCCTGAACTCAGGACAAGCCTAGCACACAGTCAGTCTCCCCCCACCCTTCATTAGAGGTCAGAATTCCTCCAAAAACAGCCAGAAAAATAAAGCTGTGTTTCTGGCCACATCCTCAGAATCAGGGCTGCACATTAGACACGGGTCACCGACGTCTCATTCCAAGCAGCTTGGCCCCGATTAGCCAGGCTGCTGCTGAAGTTCCAGCTGCCTCCGGCCCACGCCTCAGACTACCAGGGGCAGAGGTCTTTGGACTGCCCAGAGCCCCGTGTGCAAGCTCAGACTGGAGGTCACATTCTCAGTGACTATTTGGGTCTCTGGCGGCTTCAGGTAGAACTCAGAGCAGGTCTCGTCTGACCAGGGGAGTGAGACCCAAACCAAGTGGGAGAAGAGAACAGAATGAAAATCTCACCCCGAATCAGGTTTTATAGTTTAAACATGTTGAAAGTGTCTGGTAGAAAGTGCACATGTTGCTAGAAGCCTAGGATGTGAAGAGAGGAAAGTCACATGGGTTTCATTTTCCCCCATCAAAGGGAGGAAACTGAAACACCCCGAGTCAGCCCTGATGGGGGGAAACTGAGTCCCGTGCTGCTGCCAAAAGTGATTGGGGTAAAGGCTCAGGTTCACTTGGCACCTGAACCACCCATGGATCCTCTTCAAGCGTTTAACTGGAATTCTCTTTTTAACTCTCCCCAAATCCTTAGAGGAAGGGACTGGTCTCACACCATTTTGCAAGTGAGAAAACTGAGGCCCAGAGCAGCTAAGCCACATGTCCCAGGTCACATATGGGAGGGGTTGGGATTTGGATTAAGAGCATATGGGGGCGGGGGGAAGCATATGGGCATATCCTTAGGGGAGGACAAGCAGACACACACACACACACACACACACAATCGTGGCTGGAGCTGCCAAGATGTGTGCTCAAGGATGGGCTTTGCAAAGGTGTAATCACTAATGCAATGCCCATGTAGGTTAGATGAAGGCACAGAGAGGAGGATGGAGAACTCGAAGGAAGGAAGGAAGGAAGAAAGAGAAAGAAAGAAAGAAAAAAGGTAGTTACATTGGAAAGCCAAGAGCAACAAAATGGTACAGCTGCAGTGAACCAATGCTTGCCAGCCCTGGCCAGTGAGGCTCAGTTGGTTGAGTGTCCTTCCGTGTACCAAAGAGTCGCTGCTTCCGTTTCCCGTCAGGGCACATACCGAGGTTTCTGGTTCGATCCCTTGGCAGGGCATGTGCCAGAGGCAACTGATGGATGTTTCTCTCTCACATCGATGTTTTCCTCTCTCTCTCTCCCTCTCCCTACCTCTCCTTCTAAAATCAATTTTTAAAAAAAGTTTGGCAGTTCCAAGAAGTTAAACATAGTTACCACAGGGCCTCGCAATCCAATGCCTCAGTATAAGCCCCAAACAATGGAAAGTATTAGGTGTTGAAATATTTGTAATGAATGTTCACGGCAACGCTATTCACAATAGCCAAACCATCAACGTAAAATGTCCATCAAGGGATGAATGGATACACAAAATGTGGTTTACCCAGGCTGCTGTCAGCCTACCATGGAACATTACTCAGCCATAAACATGAACAAAGTTCTGACATATGCATGGATGGACCTGGAAAACACCATGCCAAGTTAAGGAAGCCAGTCACACAAGGCCACACAGTGTATGATTCCATCTTTATGCAATGTCCTCGACAGCGAGTCCATAGAGACAGAAAGTAGATTAGTGGATGCCAGGGGTAGGGGAAGGGACTGGGAGTGACTACTAATGGGAACAGGGTTCCTTTTGAGTTGATGAAATGTTCTGGGACTAGACAGAGCTGATGGTTTGCAGCATGGTGATTATATTTAATGCTCCTGAACTGTACACTTTAAAATGGTTTCAGTGGTGTTTTATCTTATGTATACTTTATCACAATTGTTAAAACGCCAATGTGGAAGCATTTATGAATGAGAAACAAATGCAAGAGAAAGACAGAGACACACAAATGTAATTGCAAAGGCAGCAAAACTCTCAGGAAGGAGGAATAAGAAACTGATAACACTGGGTCCTTTGGGGAGGGAACCAGAATGTGGGAAGGGAGTTGAAAATGGGGTGGAGGGGAGATACCGCCAACATTTCTTGCACCATGTACACATATCAATTACCCAGAAATAAATACAATACACACTTTTTTTAAGAAAAAAAAACACACCACTAGAAATTTAAAAATTGTGGTAAAATACACATAAAATGTACAACTTTTTTAAAAAATATATTTTTATTGATTTCAGAGAGGAAGGGAGAGAGAGAGAGAGAGAGAGAGAGAGAGAGAGAGAGAGAGAGAGAAAAAAAAATGATGAGAATCATGTATT